GCTATATGGGCGCTTAGTTTTTCATGTCGTTTAATACACTTGGCCAAAATCTCATGATAGACGATGAAGCGCTATATGCACAGGATATTTAAAACGTAGCCTACAAAAGTAGCCTATTGGTTACAACTAGACGGCTAAAGCTATTCTCCGCTCTTCAACCACGCAAAAAACATTAGCCTTTATAGATATAGTGTTTTAGTGAAGAAAGCACTGTACTTATTCAAACATCATTTATTATTTACCCTTGCATTGCGAACAAGCCGAGATCTCTCGAGGTTGCGCGCGCTGCGCGGCGCTTTGTTGTGAATGGAAGCAGGGTGAAGTTACGAGGATTTGCTGACAGTTTAAGGATCCATAGCATTAAAAAGTTTAGTGACAAGCTCTTTTGAATGCTTTTCATTGGTTAAATATTTGTAAAACCCTCAAACAGACATAAGGAAGACCAATAGCAGTGATTTAAAACAATAATAACGAAATATAATAGAGTTTGGATTTTCCACGGCACACCTGACTGGGCTAGGGTATGGCGACTGCCATACGGAAACGCCGCCCCTGGTTCAACCCCAGCACAAGCTCACTGAGTAAAAAAACAAAAAATCTGTCTATACTGCACAATGAATCTCTTATTTACATTGTCTATACTTTGTCGGTTATAGCAAAACTATTCACAAGAGTGCAGAGCTCAAGCTGAACGAACTCTGGCGATTCTGACTTAAGCCTAGTTCAGACTACACAACTTTAAACGTCTGCAGATCGCTGTGCTGTTCAGACTGCATGATTTGCTGTTTGTCTTGAAGTCATTGTGGTGTTCACACTACGTGACACTACGTAAATTATCCAAGAGGGTCTGGCTGCAGCCTTGCGCTTGCACTCTCAGACTTGCATTCTCAGACTTGCACTCTCAGACACTTGCGCTTCGAGCCCAGAATAAATGCAACACGCACAGTTTCGTGTTCGTTTTCCCATATAGAATAAACTGTCTACAGCTCTTTTATATCATTGTCTTTGTCCATTAAGCTACATTATGGGTTTTATTTATAATGATTTTCTATAGGAGGAAAATGTTTAACATGCAATTTAACGCATTGCCTGCTTGCCTGTACAGGCAAGAGTTGATCCTTTTAAAATCACTTAATGCATTTCAAAATGCATGTTCATATTTGATGGTCTGTATATACTTTGAGTCAACAACAAGACATATAGGCTACTGAATTGTCTTTATAATCTTAGTCCGTTTCAGTTTTTTTTTTATACATATTGATTTTTATTTATGATACATAACCTTAAGAGGAAGCAAACTTCCAAAATCATTCAGAAGTAACAGTGGAAAAAAAAAATCAACGGGGTTGATCCTCATATCCAGCATTCTCTGAACCTCCTTCTGCTTGTATTCGGGGTCAAAGGTATGGGGAACATCTCCATAAACATACTTCCTCTGCCACAAGACAACTAGGCCAGTGAAGCCAATGAAAAAGAAAATTCCTGCAACTACAGATTTCCACTCTCCTGTTCCCTTGTCCATTTCAGCAAAGCTCTCCTTGAAGCTGATGCGATATAATGCAATCTTCTCCTCTTTGGACAGTGCAGCCCAGGATCCCTTCTCTTTTTCCTTTAGAGACTTCTGCTCAGGACTCAGCTGCTGCACAAACTTGATATCAGGAAGAGGGCTCTCTCGTCGGTCAAAGTATGCTGGCAGTGTGTATTCCTCAACCTTAGCAACTCCTCGTGCCTCTGTCTGTCGCTTGCTTCTCTCAAAGCCATGTTGCTGCTGCTGTTTTTCTTCCGCTGACCTCAACCCATGCCTAGCTCGTCGTGACACCTGACACCACATGATGTCGAGTCGGCCGACTGGTCCAGATATTTAGCATGCTAGATATTTGTTTGGCGCCAGCAAGGCATCGGCGAGCCTCTTTGATGCGTCATTGAATAGTTCACACATAAAGATTGCCGAGTGATGATCACCCGCTGATTTTCCCCCAATCACAGTCCGGCCTGTCGGCAAATTTGTTGAGTTGCAAACTGAGCTTAAATCGGGCTTAAAATCCTGTAGTGTGAACTTGGCATTACATGCCTCTGATTGGCCATTCCGTTCACATGCTCAACAAACATATCTGTGATTGGCTACAATGCTGCAAAAAAACGTTGCAAATTGAAAGCTTTGACACTCTTCACATATACTCACACAAATACGGGAGCATTTGAGTAGCCACCTGTCAGCAGGTCGCTACTACCGGCACTGTGCACTGCTGGTATTGCTAAGTTTTCAAAGTGTAAATATAATACTTGGTCCTGAAGTACCAGTACTTTTGACAACACAACTAAGGATACAAAACTTTACAAACTGTACCGGCGGGCAGTGTTTCCACCACTGGAAAGTATTGGCTGATCCACTGAACAGTCTCTCTTCACAGGCACATGGCTGGGTTTTGGTAGATTCTCCTTCATGCTGTGTTTTCTCTTTCTACGAACATCAGATTAAGAGAAAGATTTAGGACATTTTAGTGAACAGTACATAAAACTGATACCATGTGTTTGCAGAAATATTGTACCTGCTGCCAGATGTGTTTCCGTCATTAAAAAACAGTGGTGGATTCATAGACTGATCGCTCTTCATTGACACACAGCTGTGCTCTGCTGATTCTGTTCTCATAGGCTTGACTGAACTGAAACAGTGTAGAGATATAGCTTTATAAATCATTTTTTAGAATATTCAAGCGTAATGTCCTAAAGTCAGGGAGAACAGAACGATTACATATAAAGAAGTGGTGCAAAGCTGTATCCTGTACTAAGTGCTTTTGTGTGAACTGCACCTTGAACATGAAAACATTAGATGAAAATATAAATGCCAGTACATAATTCACTTTATCAATTTCCTGTCTCGTTCCACAATGTAAACAAAATGCTGATACCATGTGTTTGCATAAATATTGGACTTGCAGCCAGATAATGTGTTTCCATCATTAAAACGCAGTGGTGGATCCATAGACTGATCACTCTTCATAGACACACAGCTGGGCTCTGCTGATCCTGTTCTCTTCTGCTGGACTGAACTGTAACAGTTTAGACACGCAGCTTTATGAATGAATATTAGCATATATTTTTACTGTATCTGCTATATATTATTTTACTGATTTATCATTATGTGCCATTTCAAAGCTTTAAAGAGTACCTGATTCCTGGACAAAAGTATCCATCACTGTATGTCTGTGCGTCGTCCATATTGGAGCTGCAAAGGTGGATCAGATGAGTCTGATCTCTAACACATCCATCCACAAAATGATCTGCAGTTTATTCCACAGACACTGCTGAAGAAAATAACAACAAAATCATCTTATGTCATCTTGTGTTGGGACACACATGCTAAATTATATATATATATATATATAATATATATTAGGGATGCACTGATACCACTTTTTCCAGTACTCGCCCGATACCGATACTTTTATTTTTGGTACTTGCCCAAATACATTTTGCTTGGTTGGAACAGCAGCTACGCTAATTATGTCTCTATTTGTTTCTCTGTTTTTTTGTAACTAGGATTTACACAAGCTTCAGTCTGGATCCAGAACACCTGAGAAGAGATGATGCCAACCCCTCAGAGGACCTCAGATGATGCCAACCCTGAAACAACCTACAGAACTACCACATTTTGCTATAAGTTTGATTGCATCATATAATAATTGCTGTTAATAGTGTTCATCGTCTGTTTGATTATGTCTTTAATGGATTTTTCCGTACATTTCTGCCATATGTACATTAACTGACAGTCACCACTGATAAGCTACCACTAAATATTGTAGAAACTTAATTTGCTGTAAAGTTGCTTTGCAACGATTTGTATCGTGAAAAGCGCTATACAAATAAACTTGAATTGAATTGAATTGAATTGATGCCAACTGTAATTTCCACCAATTCGTGTTTTGTTGTATTGTTTGTCAAATAATCAGCTAGTTAGTTGTTTTTGTTCTCCCTATTACTTGGGTCTATAATTAATGTGCCATGATTATTTTACTTTTTATGTAACAACTAACAAGTAATGTTTTTTAATTAAGTTACTCTTGGAGAACTACTTAACAAGCCTAACAACAGTTTATACTGATAAAAACATTTAATCTGTAGATCTAGTAGTAGTATGTAGGAAAATAAAATATATATATATTTAACAATGTAATAATGTAACAATGTAATAAAAAAAAAAGTGCCTTATATCAATTCAACAAATCCATCTATAAGCATAAATATGATTAACACTAGTCACAGCCTTCTTCACTTGGCCACAATTGAGTTCTCATCTACAAGTAGATTTTTAGACCAGTTTTGAAAACATTATGCAATTTTGCAAGGATTATGTCAATGAAAATGATCAAAATGACAGACCATGAAGTGTGGGAAAGGACGTAGGCCTACAAGCCCACGCTTTTAAAAACGCACGTATACACTATAGTCCTTGGGCTCACGGCGTCCTAATTTATCGATTCATAAAAGATCAAGTCTAGGCATTTGAAATTAAGGCATGGAGATAACGGTTTGAATTATTACTGCACATCTTTAGTGTATATTAGCACCGTTTGTTGTTTGTTTTTGGCATCTGATAGAGCAGTACTGCGACTAGGATTGCCAACTTCAGAAAAGAAAAATACGAGCAATCGTGGTTTATAACAGACAGAATAAGGGACATATATATAACTGAATAACTGAACTGAATTGCTGAAGTCAAAACAGGTACGGGACACGTCCAGGCCATGGTTTTTATATTGCCTAAAACATCCAAAGTAGTTTGACCAATAACATGCAGGTATTGTACATAATCGACCAATCGTGGCGCGTCGCGCGTGAGAAGGTGAGAACGATCAAAGCGATAAAAATACGCGCACGTGTTTGTTCGTTCGACTTGAAGCTGCGCACCGATCATTGTATGACACCAAAGTGCCGCGATAGCGATTTGAAAGCATAAGGAGCTGTCTGCTCTGCTCTCTATAGCTCTCGTGAAATAATGTCATACAACGATCAATCTGCACAGTGCTAACAGCCAAAACCTGGATATTTTAGGCAATATAGAAATCCTGGCAAGGGTGCGTCCCGTAAATGGCCCGTATGGTCACCCTACCGGTGAAGGGAATTGCGTTAGCAGGTTAACCTATATTTATAAAGTAGTACGTACATGTACAAGAAAACTTCACTCATGCTGTTGAGTCTATAAAACGATCATCTTTGATACTCACTCTTTCTGCTATTTTCCTACCGCAATGGAGTCCTTTAGGCACAAAATGGCCCCTGAAAAAAAACCACTTTCACTTTCGTTTAGTAAGTCAGGCAAAACCACTGTAGGAATAAATCACTGCAGAATTAAAGGAGTGCAGTGACATTTCTGACGATCATTATTTTACACAGGGACGTAGGGTAATTTCAGCATGTACAGGGGTCAGTCAGTAATTTGATTTCCGTCCGAAATTTAAATCTGTTGATTTTTTTTTTAATGGCTTGTTTAGTATGCATGACCCTTGATAGCCAGAAGGGGGCGATGTTTCGTTACTTTTAAAGAACGGTTTTGGGGGGCTGGGTTCAGTGTAATAGGAAAAGTTTATTATTATCATTATAAAAATTTTATTTAACATGGACATCACAGTTACATTGGACAAACCATATGCACTTGCTTAAGTGTTTTAGCACACATGCTAATTTTCAACACCAGTCCACGGGAGGCTTTTCAGAAAGCAAAAAAAATTAAAAAAAGTAAATTAATCAAATAAAACCAATAACAATACTAATAATAATAATAATAATAACAACAATGTTAACAATAAAAGTAACAATAACAATACTAATAAAAAAAAAATAAAAAAATAAAAAGAAGGGAGAAAGAAAAAAAATACATTCAAAATTATTTACATAAGCTATAAAGCAAAGGCAACATAATCAGACAATATCGCAGTAATAGTTTGGTATGAAGAACTATTCATGTGAGCACTGTTGTTTGGTTTTTATCATGATTTGTCTATGATAATTCAGAAAGTGCATGATAATGGTAGTAAATGCAGTAAGTAGCCTAGATTTATTTATGCATGCACCATTTATACCAGTCATGTATCAGTGGTTTTAAAAGTTTTAAGGTATTGTAGCATGTTGTTGTGTTGTGGATAACAATGTGCTTAATGTTAACTTTGCACTTTACTCATTTTTGTGTTGTGAACTGTTATTGGATGTTCGAGTTGGATGTGAAAATAGGCTCCGCCCCCTAGCCTACCTCTAAATCTCTTAATAACTAATGGTAGGCCTAATCACTATCCACATTGATTACTGCTCTAGCGTGGTCTGATCTTAATTTAACTGCACTTATAGATAAACAATCTGACTTAAGTAATTACACAAACAATTGTAAAGGTCACATTTGTATCAAAGACTTTATTGAATACACTGAGTGATTATTGACAATGCAGGTAGACTATAAGTTAAACCTTGAATTTAGTAACTTGTAGATTCTCCTGTAACAGCAAAACATCCAACAAACATTATCTGTTGCTGCTTGTAAGACTTGTGACCAATTTAGACCATCCCTCCCCATAAATCTGTTTTAGTTGATGGATTTTTTCTTGTTTTTATCATAATTTTTTTGGCTTCTCTATTGAAGAAGACAGAACAAACAGTTTCACATACTTTGTGTCCTGTCAGTGATCATTCAATGCCTTCAATATTTGAAAAGTATCAACTGTTTGTGTGTTATTAGTTTAGTCCGAATGTGTTTGTCTGTGAGTGTGACTTAGAATAACAATTATTTGTCGATTCATTTTAGCTTCTACGCTGAACTTATATGTCATCAGCCCAGAGCTGCTTCCGTGTACAACAGTGAGCGCAAGCATATCCTGAAGACGCTGTGTGATTCGTTGTGAAAGCTAAACTACTTTGTTTGGTCTTCCAAAAGAGGACGATATCCGCTTCGTCATGCCTAGAGCTGATCGAGTACTTGGAGATACCCCTCGCTGCAGACTGTAGCGCGGTGACGTCACGTATCTACGTCACGTATGTGTTTACCGCGCATGCGCAAAGTGACGTAAGGTATGTCTATAAGACGCATGCGCATTAACGTGGTGACAGCGCATGCGTGTGTAATTTGCATTGCGTGGTTGCGTGGTGCACACAATTGCAATCTATGATTATGACCAAAGCATCCTTGCAGTTAAAGGCCGTTAACACAAACACACATTGTTTTTAAGAAAACATAAGTAAGTTAATGTTCTTTGACTTACTGCCACCGAATCTCGAATCCACCATACATCCGGAAGTGAATTAACCTGTACATGCGCAGTAACGCCAGTACGTACGGCGCGCATGCGTGTTATAGACATACCTTACGTCACTTTGCGCATGCGCGGTAAACACATACGTGACGTCACCGCGCTACAGTGTGCAGCGAGGGGAGTCTCTGTTGTTTTGGCAGTATGTTTAGGGCCATTGTCATTTTGGAAGGTGAATGACCTGCCCATCTTCAGCTGTCTAGCAGAGGGACACAGGTTTTCCTCAAGAATTTGGATGTAGCTACGTGGCAGCATCCATTTTTTCTTCAATCCTGACCAATCGCCTAGTCCCAGTTGAAGAGAAACACCCCCACAACATAATACTGCCACCACCATGCTTCACAGTAAGGCAAGGCAAGTTTATTTATATAGCACATTTCGTACACAATGGTAATTCAAAGTGCTTTACATAAAAGAAAGTAAAATAATCATAAAAAATAATCACAAAAATAAAACAAGGAATTTTAAAACTTTGAAGATGATTTAAAAATTGATTTAAAATGAATTTAAGACCGTTAAAAATATAAAATGATTATACATACATAAAATACATCGCAATAAGTTCGGACATCGCACAGTGCTCATTCAATAAATGCACAGCTAAACAGATGAGTTTTGAGTCTGCATTTGACTGTGAC